ACGACGACGACGACGACGACGCAGGAGGGACCCTATAATCTCCTCAAAGAAAGTACCTAAGGGTACCTTGTTTTGAACCTTAACTCTTTTGAATGCACGGAAGTTTTTTTAACATGATCTTTGCATAACCCCTCACTTCAACACCGCAATCCCTTGGTACTCCTGTAGGGTCCCAGGGTAGCCTGTTTTAAGCCTTCCTCTGTTATCAGTAGCTCTTGGCAGGACCTTCCCAAGCTGAGCACTGCCATGGAGTGTGGTGCTTGGAACCTTCCGGACTCCAGAAAGGTATATGGGTATGTAAGGGCTTCTCGAATTGTGAATCCTTCGTTCGGGATCTCAAAACAAGGTCTATAATGGTTTGGGTCATGCAGAGTGGGGTTCTGGTTTTGAGATGTTGCTATGTCCGTGTTCCAAACTTCATGGCCTTTCTAAGCCTAGGATGTAGGATCATCGCTTGCCAGGATTGGATGTTCTAGCTTTCAGTTTTTAGGATGCGGGCTTTAGGAGTTTTTACCTTTGGGTTTGTTGTTTCTCAGACAGTTCCACGGGATGCCACAGAGACTGCACGGGAAGAAGTGTTTCATTGTTAGTAGACAGAAGCACTCTTGAAAAGTGGAACACTTCTCACGTGGACCCCACAACAGGGACTTGTCATGTTACAAAAAGTGCGAGACGTGAACCCCACACGGAAGCCTCCATGTGCCTGCACAGGGAAAGAGAGAGGAGATTGAGAGAGAGAGGGTGCTGGAGATTCTGAGATCCCGAAACAGTTCCCCTAGGGCCACAGCGGTCGGACCGGTTTTGAATTTGGGGCACGGCCCCGGAGCTTTCCTGTGGAGTAGACAAGAAGGGAGGGATAGAGGGTAAGGGTGTTTGTGTGCGTGTGGCACTCACTGCTAAGAATTTCAGAGATCAAAAGCGAGATCGCCGCAACCCTGGCAGAAAATGACAAGCAATCACTGCCCAGGGGGTACAGCCTCATTCAGCGCGTGTCGAAAGCTGACCCGAATGACCCGCTGCAGGGTGCTTGCGATGCATAGGGGGCGGTAGTGTGGGTCCTCACACCCCGTCAGGAAGGCTGGAAGGTGAACTCTTTCTGCCTTGCGCATGGCATGCTCTGCGCTGTCAAGAGTGTAAAGCCCCAGGAGCCCATTGTCAACAAGCTGAAGGCAGACCAGAAAGAGTTTGAGAAGGCTCACTTGACTCCTTTAGCCGTTTAGCCTCCTGCACATGTTTGTAGTCTGCAGCTGCACCTAAAACGAATCCGATGCCCACCTGCAAACCTGTGCATGTGCCAAAGACACATATAGGATCTTGATGTGCATCCAGAGTCTCCCGAGTTCCCGTTGCACTGCCGCGCCGACAAACAAGATTGAGGATATGATGGCGCTTGTGAGGGTTGAGCTTAGTGTTCTATTCCAGGGAGAAGTGTAGGAGGATAAGAGAGGGCAAGGAGGCCTTCAACCTGCCCACTGCGGGACGGCAGATGCGAGTGTGATTGCCCTCCTCAGCCAGGCTGTAAGGGCCAAAGACTATGCCGAAATCCGGAGGACTTGGTGGAAACCTGCAGAGCTTTTGTCAGATCTCACCTGAGCTCTTTCAACGGTACCAGCCGTAGACGTGCTTGTGATACAGTTTGAACCGGACCAAGATCAAGTCCAACTGAGAAGTTGAACGATGCCGTCAGGACGTGGAAACAATGGAATGACGATTTGGATCCCGACATTGGCACGTGGGCTTGGTCCTTAGCAGCAGTTGTATCCGCAAACGTCCTCCGTGCTGAACTTCCGGTCAGTGCATGGTGCATGTTTCGCAGCTCCATCTTTTGACAGCTAGCCGGCCCCTCTCTGCTTACGACCTGAGGAGCTCGCCGAGGTGTTCTGATCGTAAGACCGCGGTGCGGAATGGAGGTTCCCTTGGCTCGCTGAGTGCAAGGGCCCGGGGCCCAGGGCAGAGCACTCCTCAGCCCGAGAGCAGTCGTACTTTCACCTCATGGGATGCCACAAGCGGAGTGGTCTCAACCAGTTCGAGCCTGCAAAGTCAGAACAGGAAATTTCTTCTTTCACAGTTGTGACGGGAAGGAAAGCCAAAATTCGATTTATTGGTCTGAATTTGGAGTAAATCTGTCATTGTTGTTGCATTTTTGATATGCTTAAACCAGTATATCACCAGACTATGTCATTACTATGTCCTATAGGTACTTCATTTAACTCGTACGGTTCGGTTCATGTGTACTTCATCATAAATCGCAGTAGTTGTTTCCGTCGCACTTCTCATGCTGTAGGTTAGGTAAGAGGAAATTTTGGGCCTTGCTTCGTTGACCTCCGTGGCTGGCCGGCAAAGTGCCAACAGGGCGCAGACAGCAACTGTCAGCGCACTGCAATCATCATACGAGATCTTCCAAGAATAGAGAGGTCCCTTCGGCGTGGAACTTTACATAAGAAATCCCTACGCGCGAGGTACACCTTGGGGCTTCCTATTCTCGGAAACTGCCATATGAGCGGCGGTGAGTTCCATTTAAACAGTTTTCCAGACATGAGAAAGGGCACTACGGCTGTCAGAAAGCCATACGATTGAAGCCAGAGCTGGATGTTAATGTTAGGCTGCTGGTCTCTTAGATCTCCAACTGGAAAATTACACATCTTGTAGGGTTTTTCAAACGAGTGAGGACCATTCCAGGAAGTCAGTTCCCATATTTCTTGGCAAGTACACTTCTCTGCTTAGCCCACTGGCCTTGGTTGCCCGGACTCATCGGGACTCCGAAGTCAAGGAGTGTGCCCGTGGTTCCGGCACGGTCTCGCCTGAAAAGTGGCAACCATGCTTTTATCTTCCTGAGATGCATGTTGTGCATTTCTCAGCATGCCAAACCAAAGGCCATCATTGAGTTCACGCGGAGATTGCGACCGCCGCATAGGACTCGTAGGTATGCGAGGAATCGTGTTGTAGACACGCAAGCAGAGAAAACATGTGTCCAGCCATGGGATAGATGGAGCCCTACACCTGACCCCGGCGCTCAACACGCGCAGGCCCCCAAACCTTTCAACCATCAAACCCTGAACCCTCAACCAAGACTTGCAAAAACATCGAACCTTAAAACAAAACTTTGGGTGCCCCCCCTTGGAATTAGCCACCACACAGCCATAAGCCTGGAAACATCTACACGTCAAGACCAGCCTAAACACACAGCCAAACCATGCCAAACCAAGAACCTCACACCCTCTGAGAGTGCTGTGTAGCAGCTGGCCATGCACATGCCATGCTCCGCACCCGTTCGGCGCGAAGCGCGCCGCCCTTGGTCAACTAGGCATTTTGATACACGGATTCTGCACTTTTTGAATGCACCTTATCTGGGGGAATATGGTTGAGCTTGACCAAAGGAGGTTTTCCTAGGTATTGGATTGCAAGACCAAGCGGTGCCCTTTTTTGCGTACGTACTTGGTATCAGATTACCTTATGTATCCATTGCCACCGCATGGATGAAGAACAAGGATGATAGCAGCCAGCATCACTGTATTGCTGCTGCTGCAGCTGCGTGACTCGGACTCATGATGATGATGACAACAACAATGATGACGACAACGACGACCGTGATGACCGTGATGACGACGACCACAACCAGCATGGCACCGCCGCCGAAGCTCTTGAGGAGGACAGCAACAGCGTCGCCGACCTGATTCACGAAGCCACTGCGGCAGAGACAACGGCAACAACGATGGCGAAAGCCATTATAAGAAACACCGCTACAACTACAGCTGTGATAGATATCAACATAGTTTCCACATACTTGCACTACCATTGCCGCCACCATGACTCGGCCCTTTGCCGGCCATGGGCTAAGGTCTTGGGCAGCGAGCCCACGAGCTTCCAGCTACCGGGCAGGTGAGCTGGGCACCAAAATGGGGGTTTCCCAAAATTAGGGGTAGCTTTTTGTGGGTCCATAGTTTTGGGGGGTCTGTTTTGGGGTATTCCTATTTTGGCAAGCTACCAAACGGAGTTTCTCAAAACTCTGTGCCCCTTTTCAGGGGTACCTATAGTGAGGATCCTATCATGTTGCTGGCCTATGAGGGGAGACTTCTTTTTTCGACATACCCATGAAAGACATACCCATGAATTATGAAGGTGCGGTTACCAAGGCCGGCGGGTCCCTACATTTGCTTCCTATTGTTGAGCGGCTTGCTAGTTAAGCTGCTCCCATGTTTGGGAACACCAACTTAGACAAACTCCCATACCAGCATGTGGAATTGACATCTATGTGCTGAATGTGCTCACTCAATAATATCCGGGGAGTTTCTCCAGATTGTGGGATGCCTTCCCGAAAGGTCCTCAGATTAAGAACTGTGTTTTCTTGGCTGTATGTATGTAAAGACTTCCGACAGGTTCCTACATCTCATCAGGACCTGCATCATGAGGTTCCCGGTCAGACATTCATTGACAGCAGAGCTCAAAATCGACAGTATGTAGAAGAGCAAATAGGAGATAGCTCCACAGTCTCAGCTTCGATGGCCTGATAGCAAAGTATCCGCTTTCAAGGCGCCCAGGAGCTGTCCACAACTATTATCATGATAGAACCTAAGCTGGACCTGCCAGGTACCAGTTCCAGAAGCTTCTTGGGAGTGGCAGCTATGGCCACGCAGCCAGGTTATGTGGAAGTGCAGCAGAACCTCCTTGTAATTGGAGCAGCGCGTGCAGCAACTTTAGGAGGACCGCTATAGGGGTAATATAGGGGTTATATAAGGGTTATATAGGGATTATATAGGGGTTGTATAGGGATAATGAAAAAGAAAATGGAAACTTTTACCAGGTAAACGGCCTTTGGGTTCTTAGTGCAGTCACTCCCCTCCTGGAGGAAGGAGTCCCCTAGGCACCCCCATGTCAGGTGTTGTTGCTTCCTTCCGGGATGGTACAAAAGGATGCAATGTAGCCGTGAAGCGCGTGCCTGGATCCCAGCTTGAAGATGTCAAAGATTCCTGCTAAACTGTTAAGCAGGAAGCTTCCAGTTTCGCAGGAGGACCTGCTTGCCATTGCTGTTGCCACGCAGCCAAGATCAGCAAAGCTAGCTGCACCTTTCAGTGGAGCTGTCTCTAGTCAGGCAGCTCCATCCAGAAGGATTACTTGGCAAACGCCTGAGGCGGCGGGTCTTCGACAATTTCCTCATGCTGAGGCGGACGCCTTGGCCCTAGCACGCATGGATTTTCGACAACAACGACTCCTGCTCTTTCTCCTTCTAGTATATACTGCTGTCATCTTCATCGGGAAGATTCCGCGGCAAAGACCACTTTTTTTTTTTTTTAAATCAATAACTTAGTACGAGGACCATGACTTTCATTTCAAACCGAGGGATGCTGTGCTTTGTCTTATCCGATCTGTGCCAGAGACGTTTTTCCTTGTCAGGGTTTAGTATTAAGGTCGTATATGGATGTGGGTGCGCCCCATATTCGGGGCATCCGTATTCTAAAATGTATTTGCAGAGACCTATGCAATCCATCTGGTGCGGAGGACGAGAAAATGGAATAGATCCCTTTAATGGTCCCTTTCCAATACAAGTGATGATCTGTGCAATACGCCCGCAAAGTCCGCACCGTAACCCCCAAACCCAAACCCAAAGTGCTAAACCCGAAGCCATGTTGCTACTCAGGCTGAGGGAGATCAAGCTGATGCGGCACTTCAGCCATCCCAACGTCTTGCAGCTTCATGAAGTGGCTTTGCTGAGACCTTTGGGTGTACACGGGTGGGGTTTAGGGTTTAGGGTTTAGGGTTTAGGGGACGTCAGGAGTATGTAAGGTTTGCTTGGATTGAAACTAGGTTTGGTAGTTTCCTAAAATAGGGGTACCCCAATATAGACCCCAGAATACTGTAACCCTTATGATAGGGACACCCAAAAAGGTACCCCTAAATTTGGGAAATTCCCGTTTGCAGGAATTGTGGAGGATTTTTCTAGGGGTTATAGGCCAAGGTTGTCTCAAGAACGTAGGTCCATCGAGCACTTTTTTAAAACAATTCCATCCCTTTTGGAGTTCCTTTCATCAGTTCGTTTCCCAACTGGTAGGAGATAATTTTCCACAACTAGGGTCCCCCTTATACACCCCAATATACTATAATCCTTATCATGGGGACCCCCCAAAATGGTAAGAAACCTCCAGGAGTTGACAGCCTCCCATGTCCGCTTTGTTTTCTTATCCAGGCAGCCGGGGGC